CCAGCCGGGCGTGGCTCAGCCGTTGAGTGTCGACCTAGGATCCAGGCGATCGGGGTTCCATTCCCGGTCAGGGCACATGCCCGGGTTGCGAGCTGCAGCCGATCAATGACTCATCATTGATGTTTCTCTGTCTCTTTCTCCCTCTCCGTTCCTCTCTCTGAAGTCAATAAAGATATATTTTAAAAAAAAAATTGTGTACTTGGTGTAGGTATACCTGCCATAGGTTAATAATAGCTGTGGCTACCATATATTTAGTGCATAGTACATATCAAATGCCCTGCAGGGTACTTAAGCATATTCTGTCTCACTAATGCAGTTCTTTAGGTAATATTCCTGCTTTACACATGAGGAAACTGAGGTAGAACGATTTGCACAAATACACAAAAATTGGTGGAAATTCTTAATCCAAACATTTAAGCAACTCAAACATTTGTTCTCTCTAGAGTTGTGCAAGCAGGACCATTATTTCTGTACCATATGAATAGTTAGTTTCCTAAAAATCTTGGCTTGTAGTTTAGTATTCTTTATTGCCCTCTTGTCTTTATCCCTGTTGTTTCATTTGTTTTTCTTCATTGCTTTATTGCTATAACCTAGAATGCCTTTTTTTTACACTCCTGATAACCTTTCAGTGACACTTCCTGCCTTTTTCCTGTGTCCTTTCCCAGCCTTTTGTCCCCCATGCATGTTTTTCTAACAATTGGGGAGTGAGGTGTAGTGGAAAGACTGTAGGTTTCAGATTTTGGACTGTCTCTTCATAGCTCTATGACCCTGGGCAAGGGTTGCCATGACAATTGCAAATAATGCATGTCAAGCACCTGGCACATAAGTAGACCATGTAGCATAGTGATTAGAAGGATGAACTCTGGAGCCAGACTGCCTGGGTTGAGAAGTCCTGGCTCTCCTACTATTTAGCTATGCAATCTTGGAAACATCCCATAAGCTTTTTGTGCCTCTGATACCTTGCAAGAAAAATAGACTTGATAATAGAATCTACCTTAAAGAATTGTGAGGGTTAAGTTCATATATGTAAAACTCTTAAAAACACCACCTGGTGATGAACAAAAGAGATCCGGAGACATAGAAGCATGGAACAGACTGAGGGACCTCAGAGGGAAGGTGAGGGTTGGGGAGTGGATGGGGAGAGGTTAATCAAAGAACCTAGATGCTTATGTACATAACCTATGGACACAGACATTGGTATGGAGAAGGTCTGGGGGTGGGGTATATGTGGGGTGGAGGGGATCAATGGGGAAAAAAGGAGACATCTGTAGCACTTTCAAGAATAAAGATAAATTAAAAAAACAAAAAAAATCCACCCCAATTCTGATGCTAATAAGAGAAAGAATAATAAAAAAACCCACCTGGCATAATAGTCCTATATGTCTTACTATTATTACTATCATCAGATTTTTAGAAGTGGTAGCCATTATTAATATGTTATGCTTACCTATGAGAAGAGATTGTCTACATATATTTTATATAAAAGTGTTCTGAAGGTAAAAAGTGGAGAGGAAACAGTCTTATTTGTCCTAGTGCTCCCTCAGTCCCACCAAGCCTCTACCTCTGTCAATGTACATATTAACAACTTCTGCCCTTTCTTTCTTTGATATTTCCTTCCTTTCTCTAGAGCAGTGGTTCTCAGCTGGGGGCTGTTTTTTCCTCCAGGGGACATGTAACAATGTCTGTTGACATTTTTGGTTGTCATAACTGGGTGGAGGTGCTTTTGCATTGAGTGAGTAGAGGCCATGAATGCTGCTAAATATACTACAATGCACAAGATAGTCCACTGCATAACAAATAATTAACTGTCCCAAAATGTCATTAGTACCAAGAGTGAGAAACACTGCCCTGGACCATTTAATGTTTGAGAAAGCTGGCTTACCTTCAGTCCTACTGGTAAGGACTAGGAGGAAACCATTAAAATAAATTAATGATGACTTGACCTATTTTTTATGTGAGATTGGGTCAGTTTTAGGTGCATTTTTGGTCAAGTCTAGAGTTCCAGATGGAATAATAGTAGCTGTCATTTATAGAGTACCTACTGTGTACTAGGAACTTTATGTATGTTATCTCCAATTCTCATATTAAACAGCAATAAGTTACTCTAAGATCAAGATGGAAGTGTATATACTTATTCAGATGTACCCACATGCATTCAGATACTATCTTTTGGTGACAGGTACATGAATGAGTAAATTCTATACACTGGGTGAAGGAAAGTTCTAAAGTTCTGGTATTTTCAGTTTGCCTTGAGACCTGCTCAGAAAATTCAAGTATCTTCCTGTTTTTTTTTTTTTTTACTTACCCTGGCTTTGCTATCAGGATGGCAATTAGTCTTTATACTAATTTAGTCTTTATACTAATACTGCAGATTTGAAAAGGCCATTAAGTCACTAGTCTGTTTTCCTTATGTCTCTGAAAGCCAAAGGTTTGCCTTTTATTTTTCTCCCAACTACCAGGACTTGGGTACCTGACTTAACTAACCTCTTTGAGCTTAAGATTCCTTACATGTAAAATGGTTACAAAATACTGCTTACTTCATAAAGTTTTCTGAATACTTTAATAGAATAATGGTTATGAAACAACACATGCTCAATAAAAGTTAGCTAATATTGTAGGCTTTAGTCTTATCTTTCAATAGGAAATGGAAATACAATCATGGATGCTAGCTTTTATTGGGGGATATTTTTGTTTTGTTTTGTTTTCTTGGCCCTGCCACTTTATTTTGGTTTTATCAAACCCATTCTCATTATCTACATTCATGCTGCTAAGACAAATATTTTGCTTAGACGTTTAAAAATTGTATTCACATAAAAACCTTTTGAGATAGCATAATTATCACCATCTTACAAATGAGGAAAACAAAGTTTAGAGCTCTCTAGTAACTTGCCCAGTGCCATACAGATAGGAAGTGACAGAGCCAGTCAGTTTGATTCCGCTGTTGTGTTACTTCATGAGAGAGTTACACTTCCTGCTAATCAGCTCTCTGAACTGTCAGTTTCCTGTGAGTCAGTGTTAACTCTGTATGTACTTTGCCTTTGGATTCCTAACTAGTCTCTGTTTCATTATTCAGAATTCAGGCTTCCACTATTTCAACTTCCACAACCTCAGGTGGCCTCCAAGATTAGACCAGACAAAAGGACATCAACTTATCATTGTCACCATCATCCATTGTCTTTGTACATTTGGAAGTTTGACTTTGTTGGTGATCCCAAAGATGATGAGGTTTAAAGACATAAGTCTAAGTCAGAAGTCACCCAATGACATGTAATTGAGGATATCCTCATGTTATTTTTAATAGCAAATGCTTGTAAAAGCAAATTAGGGTTCTGATTAAATTTGTTATAGTATATATACATATTTGAAAATTATATAACAAATAAAAAAGAATAAAGTGACTCTTTATGTCCAAGATATGGAATGAATTCCATAATATATTTTTGAATTAAAAAACAAAACAAAACAAAGTATGCAAAGTGTGGAACAATTTATGTAATATGCTGTCATTTGTATAAAAAAAATCTTTTGTGCCTCTTCCTCTCTCTCTCCCTGGAAAAATGCACAAAAACTGATAGAGTAGTTGACTGTAGGGAGAACTATGGGGGAATGTCAGGAGACGAGTGGAAAGGGACTTTGTTGTATACTCTTTTTTGCCTTTAGATTTTTGAAACAGGTGCTTATATTATCTATTTACATTAATATAATCAATACTTAAGAGAGAAATTAGACATTTTTTAATTTTTTACCTAAGTATCAGCCATAAGAAAGGATGAAATACTGCCATTTGTGATAATGTGGATGGATCTTGAGAGTATCATGCTAAGTAAGACTGAATAGGTCAGACTGGAAAGGACAAGAACCTTATGATTTCACTCATATGTGGGATGTAAAACAGAAAGTAAAACACAAACAAGACAAACAAAAATTCATAGACAGGCAACAGAAGGATGAAAGGGAAAATGGGTTCAAATGTGACAGAGGAAAGAGTACACTTTGTGTGGTGAGCACACAATGCAACATACAGATGATGTATTATAGAATTGT